TCTCTATTTGTTTATCTCTTGTCAGGATGAGCAATTAGAGCCTTTCTGATGTGAAGTTTAGCTCAGCACAGTTCCTTGCAGATCACAAAACTAGTAAATGAAAACTGCTTTAATATACAGTCTGCAATCTGAAACCTGTTCTTTACTGTCACATGCACAGGCACACACATCCATCCTCCGCACACATGGAGCTATTTGGGTACAGCTTCGAAGTCTTTAAGAATATTCAGAACACCTTACCAGCTTTTGCAATTGGTTATTGTGTTTTTGTAGGTCACCTTGTAATGAAATGCTGTAAGACCGTTTGCTTCATTTCCTTATCATTGAATTACAGAATCTTAGTTCAGCTGAGCCTTAGCAATTTTGAGGACAATATATAACACTAGCCAAAAGCCATGTAACCAGCTGCCTTTTTTTGTACATAGATTAGTGTAATGTTCTGAAACACTGCCATCTTTTGGTAGCTTGAAAATGTAATGTACAAATCATTTTGGATTCCTCACAGGTGATCCAGAGGAGAGAAGAGAATTTATAGTCCCCTGGTTCCTATATAACAGTACATTACATTATAGAAGCCCAAGGAATCACAGCTCCATAATTTGATGGGAACTTCCTTATTTGGAAAGTGCTGCATTATTTTCCTTCCCACTCCCATATGGAGTGCATTTTCCTTCCCACTCCCATATGTCTGTGCATAAAATGCACAAACAGCTCTCTCCATAGGCAAAAGCATGAACTATATACATGTTTTTTTGATGTTCAGTTGAAAAAAATGTTAACATAGTTCATTAATGATAGATTTATAGACCCTATACAGAACAGTGTGTGGGTATCGAGATCCTTTGGGACGTGAAGTTGAGATAAAGATGCTCTGAACATCATAATCTAGAACATAAATCATTGGAAAATGCAGAGTCTAATCTCTTTTTTGAAGTTACTCAAATCCTCTAATCCATAAGATTTCCGTGCTTCTTCTATTTATTGTTTTATGAAAAGCCTGGAGACCTGCCTAATTTTCTGTCCAAAATATTTTCCAGTACTGCTAGGGACTTTTGAATCTCCTTTAGACTTAGCAGTTTAGGAATGAAACCTTTAGACCAGAGAGAGGAGCTCCAGCTCTATCACAGGGGACAGATCCATGGTGTGCTAGGACCAGGCAGCAGGATTTGCAGAGCGTCCTCTCCATGCGATGGAAATAAATGGTGGCAGTGGTTTGAGCCCTTCATTTGGGCTCCACTGTGTATTTACCTGACTGCCTTACTTGATAAATGTGATATTTTGGGAGATGAATAAGGTGATTATAAAATGGGATTGCAATTAGGAAAAAAGGGATAAAGTCTCACAGCTTGGATTCAGTAGGCTTGACCCTCTTTTTCCCTTTGAAGCCTTTTGTCTGGATTTAACTCTATTACTGAAGCATTATATTAGTGCAAGGAAAAGAAGAATTAGACTCTCTCTTTTTTTTTCTCTCTCTCTGGTGCAGATGCCAAATAATTCAATAGCACTGCTTCAGTACAAGGCTGGAATAAGTGAAAGAAGAATTAGATGCCCAGACTTACTAATAGATGCTTATTGATACATGATTGTAGGAGAATACAAGCTGGTACAATTTTTCATGGCAGAGAGCCAGAAGAAATTGTCACATTAAATTAGAAGGATCTATTTTAATTTTCTCCTTCTGACATCCTGCTATTGATTTGCTCCAAGTGCCTTTATTCAATAATTCTACTAAATGAATACCAAGCAGTCTAGTTGCTTAAATAGCATTTATTTATCAATACAGGTTTAAGACACAAAATTTCAGTCCATTAGAATCCATCTTATTTAGCAAAGTGTGTGATTTAAAAAAAAAAAGAAAAGAAATAAAAACAAAAATGTATTTTACTGGGCAGCGATGAGCTGTAGCATGGAAAGCCTCTGTTCCCAGGACCAGCCAGACTGCAGCTTTTCAGTAATGGTACTGTCAGATAAACATCAGCTTTCAGGCAGCAGCTACCTATTCGATTACTTGGTATAAAATAAAACAAATAGACATTTTATAGCAGCAGGGGACTGTTACCTTATGACCACATTCTAGTCTGATGGCATTAACGCCTAACCACACAAATAATTGGGAATGAAATGGTCATTTGTGAAACTGATGGGAGGCGCTATGTCAAGAAAATTGAGTGATATGAATAAATTCTGACATCACATCTAAATCTGCTGTGGTACAGGAATGTTTTATCTGGTATTCCTTTTGTGGATTGATTGTAACATCGGCTTTTGTATATATGTTTCATTGCTCTTTATTAGTAGTTTGGGAAAATACAGCTATGAGTTTAAGATCTTCCTTGGGGAAGAAGTGAAGCTGAAGTCCTTATGATCTGTGCTGCTGAATTTTTACAGGAGGTAAGAGTGGGAAGTTAATCACCCTCCAAATCTGGTCACATTCTGTTTTGTGGAACAACATTGTAGATACTTCACTTTACCCAATATAGTCAATGTGCAACAGCACTTTTATTCACTTTCTGGTATTATAGAGCGGCTTTTGTTACTTTGCTCGTATAATTTGTAAAAGGAGTGACAGCATTTCAGGAGTTGCTGTAGCTGTTTGTACATAAACATAATTATTGTCCTTATCACAGAGCCTTTTTGCAATTAGAAATAAATTAATTCAGGTTGCTTACACTGCATCAATTTTGCTGGTTTAGTTTCTCTGTCTCTCAAGAAAAGAATTAGTGTAAACATCCATGGCATATATGTGAATGCGTTATAATTGCTGTTGGGCCTGAGGTTTGCAGAAGTTTGTCTAAGAAATGAATTGCACCATTTAAGTGGTGCTATATTGATATTATGTTGAAAGTTGGCCATTAAGTATTCATCATTGAGCTGTCTGATATGCAGAGATGTGCATGTGAAAAAGAATGAGAATATGGAACAATAAAATAGCAGAGTTCAAAGAAATGAGGTTTCTCTTGTTTAGTTCAGAATTTTTCTTGCACAAACCTTACTGTGTCCAGCTGACTGCAGAGTAAAACCTCTAGCTTAGCCAGCCAGAAGACACTGTGTGAGGAACTTGATGAAGTTCAAGACTAATTAGCTTTTATGTTACCTTAGTAGTGCTAATTCATTTGAATGGGTATTGTGGAATACAGTTGGATCAAGCAGGGATTGGAGAGTCAGCCATTGACTGGCTCACTGCCAAACTGCCCATGCAAGGAGCAGACATCAGATTTGTTCCTTTCTCCCCCCACCTCATTCATGTTGGGTCTCTGAGAATTACTGTGTGCACCAACATGGGGTGTCAGAAGGGCCTTGCTTATGGTGATGATTCTTTTTCTATAACTCAGTAAACTGTAAACAAAGGGATTAAGGAGTCATTTGATCTTCAACACAAAGTTTAAAGTGGCTTTGATGACTAAGTACCTGGAGGAATACAATGGATTATCATGGATAATAGATTAGAAAAGAGAGAACATTAAACTGATGTGTGTGTGAACACACATAATATACAATTTGTACACACGGGTCTATATTTTTGTATGGGAATGTGTAAATGCAAACATGGAAGTGAGACATGAGGGTGGGTAAATGTAAGTATACATAATGCTAATTATTCACTAAGTATGATTTCTAGGTAGGAAATGAGAGATGAGATACTAAACTCATGCTGTTAAACTTTAACTGTATTTGGAGATATCAGACATGCTAATATTGAAAATGACCGAAAAGGGCAAGACCATGAGGATTCGCATAAGGAAGGTGAAGCTTTCAGTGCTGTTTGGGTGTGAAGGGTGCTGTAAAGGTTGTGAAATGCCTTAGAAATAGTCTCTCCAGAATCGAAATGTTTCATCATGCTATCTTCCCCAGTGTCTCATCCACCCTTTCTAGGATGAGGATATGCCTAGAAAAAAAATAAAGTGGGACAAACAGTAAGGGGATGAAAAGACCAAGGGACAGTGTCCTCCAGGTTTCTTAATAGAAGAACCTGAAGACTTGTCTCAGCTTTTGAAATATATTTTAAAGTCAGAGGAAGTCAGAAATGAAAATAATGTGAGGCAACTGTTGGTGATTAGTTGTATTACTTCTTCAGGCTAAACACTTGGCTCTCCTACTTTGTAAACTATATTTCAGCCTGGAGTATGTTAAATCAGCAGAGCTGCATCAACTTGCTGAAAACAAGAAGTGAAATGGAAACAACATTTTCATGACCTCTGTGAAGGCCAGGTTGTGTGAAATGAAGTAAATTTTTATATTATTTGCTCTTGAATTCTCTCTCAGATGAAATATGTTTCATTTTGAAAGATTTCCTTTCCTTTTCTTTCATTTTAGTAAAGGCTTTGAAGGATAGGAAAGGCTGAATTTGTCTTGAAAAGGTGAAGAGGGAGGTGACGTTTGTACCTTGGGGCAGTTTTTTGCTGCACCGTTGTGACCTTTTTAGCTTCAACAATTTTGTAGTTTAAATGATGACTTTACAGATAATACAAAAGCCGAATGATTTAAAACAATCCATTCCATGCTTTTGCTCCTCTGCCCTGTATATTTCCTGTCCAACTGTAGTTGCTCTTTAAAATTAAGTGGAGAGAGAAGGATTTATTTTGCACTGGGGCTTTGGGAAATCTAGAAAGCAGCTGTTCACTTCCACTAGAGCAACAGAGACGGCACAGACTGTCCTCTGGGAACTGACATAGAGTATAGTACTGCATTATAAATACCATTTCCTAAATACAGAGTAGGCTCCCTGCAGCTGATGAATAGACCCATGCTGTCTTTGTGCTGGGAGTTAAAGAACAACATTTTCCTCGCTCACTTTCAGAGCAGGGGGAGGTGTCTCACAGCATTTCTTCTACTCCGTTGCTTGTGTTTGGGATGGGATGGGCCTTTAATGATCATTTATGGACTGAGCTTCACATTGGCTGTGGCATCTTCATCTCCCACTCAAGTGAACTGCACTTAGGGGTGCGAAGCCTTTCTGAACAGAGCACTGTTAAGAGCAATTGTTAGAGTGAGAAAAGAGCAGAGAGTTCAGACTTTTCTGAACTTACCTTTCGACTCCACGTAGCCCTTGGTAAGTGTCTTTGTGAACTCTTTTTGTCACATTGCTGATTTGTGAACTGGCGCCTAAACTTTGAGTCTCACGGTCCTGTAGGGAGGTTTAGATACTTAGTCCACTCATGGTTCTTTAAGTCAGCCACATAAATGTCTCTTGGCTTCACACCCGTCTTTTCCTACTCATCTGAGATAACTTCCCAGCATCACTAGGAAAGTTAAATGCCTGTCACGTAATATGAAGGAATTAGCTTTGTATGAATAACGCAGTCTGAAAGAGCTACTGAGCAACTGGATAATGTTCCCACTGAAATAGCTGAAATGGCTGGAGAACTGTCCCAGTGGAAGCTCCTCCTTGTTGTCTAACACCCATCTTTTGGGGTGCTTTATTTCCCCTTTGCCTTCTCTTTTAAGCATGAAGATATATCTCTTCATATATTTCATATTACCTTGTTCCTTTCTGCCACAAGGAATTCTCTGCAGAGACGAGGAAGGGAAGCAGAAGGCAATTTGTGGCACCTTACAGCAGCTCTTAGAAGAGTCTCCTATGAAATACAATTGTGTAGGGACCTCCTCTCTTCCTCAAAGACAGCAGTCTGCAAAATGCCTAATAGGGCAACAGGAAAACTGCAGAGAGGTTTAATTTTTTGTAATACCTCTTTAGTGAGTGTTTACTGCTCCAAGGGCTTCATAATTAATCACCACAACTTAAATGCTAGTCAGCACTCAGGATGCTCAATTGCATATGATCTGTTTGTCTCTTAACTGTTGAAATTGCAGTAGCTGCTAACATCCCAAACCCAATTAGAGCCAAACTGCAATTGCCTTAAGAACCTGCTGTCAACATAGCTTCCACACTGCAATACCACCCAGGTTCCCAAGAGAGGGCCAGAGCTAGCCATTCACAACAGTCATATGAATGACAAGATGACAGAAATAAGGGGGAATTCTGATTTCTTGTGTCATAAAAAAAAAAAAAAAAGATATCTGGAACAGGTAAATACATTTTTCACTGAATGGAATGGGAAGACAGGCAGGCATGAAGACAGAATGCAAGGAAGAAAGGAAAGAAGGAAGGAAAGAAGGAAGGAAGACATTGATTTGGGAATGGAAGAAGACTCTTATGTTCTCTTGATACACCCTCATGGTTAAAGCTGAATGAGAAAATTCTCAAAGTTCATTCTCTGTATCTTATTTTTCCAGTCAGTTGCCAAATTACCAAAAAAGAGTACCTACCAGCTGCTATTGAAGTTCATAAAAGCATCCATGGTGCTTGCTTTTTATTAATAGCTTCTTCACAGGGGATTCTCCCCTGTGAATCTGTTGCTTTGATTAGAAAAACAGATATTTAGAGCACTGCTATTTGTGCATACTGTAGAACCAACCAAGCAAATGAAACTTCTGTTTAAAAACTGATTCCTAACACTGAGGAAACTCTACTGTCGATGAAATATTAGTAGGAACCAGACATAAAATGGATGGTTTTTTTCTCCCAGAGATTTTAAGTATTTTTAAATATTTTGTCATATGTTCAGCAGAACATCTCAATTTTTCACTGAAAAAGTGAAAAGTAAAGTTTTTTTTCAGTCAAGACAAAGCCGTATTAGAGGAAAGAAGATGCTTTCTAAATGATCACATTGCAATAATGCTAATAACAACACAAGAGTTTTGAGATGAAGTGAGATGCAGAAAAGGCTGAAGAAAGAGTGAGTTGAAAAGTGTTGGGCAGCTTTGTGCATGGAGGTGACAAGGGCCCATGTTGCCAGATTGTGCTGCCACCCCGTGAACAGTGCACTGCATGCTCAGTCACTTCTCATTAGGGAAGGACTCCAAACTGAATGCAGATTCCCCTTCTTATTGAGGTCAATGTAAAGATGAATAAAACTGCAGCGAATTTCTGCAGTCCTACCATGTGCGCTATGGCTGGGTAATTGTGCTCCCCCTCCCCCCCCAACCTGCTTAATTGCTCGTAGACAATAGAAGGACTTTCCTTTTGCTAAGCAAAAGAAGTGTAAATGCCAGGAAAAAAGAAGTTTTCTCCTGTGAGGGATTAAATTTGGGAAAGCCCTAAGGTTTTTGTTTTGCTTTGTTTTAATTAAAAGAACCACAGAGCTTGACACTTTTCTGTTCCTTCCAATTGCAGATGATGCCTCTTCTCACTGTGTACAACTTGGCTTCTTATTAGCAAACTTGTTATTCTAGAGTATCAATGGCATCGTTTCCTTCTGAGTGTAGTCAGCTGAACTAATACAGAAGAAAACTAGCTGTATCTCTAGATCCATCCTGTAACATCACTTTAGCTGTTATTGGACATGAATTTTTCAGTAACTGTACTGTCCATGTTCCCAATACGAGTGAGGTTGTGTTTAATGCACTGTAGTCATTTGCCTTGGAAATGAAACAAGAAATCACAATTTACACAAATAAGAATATATGTTTTAAAAATACTGATAGTAAATTTGTGTATTTATTTGCTTTGCTGCTTCTCTTGAGTTCAGGTAGAGCTGAGTTCTTGGCTAGTGAATGGTGGTGCAGATGTGTCAGGCCGCATGAGCTGTGACTTGCCCCAAGGCAAATTACGGACAAGGAAGTCTGAATGCTGATTTTATCTCGTCTGTGTGTCCTGTCTCTTTAGGGCAAAAGTGATTCTGGTGTAATAATGACACCAAATGAAAGTAAGCAGCACTGATGGGCAACTTGGAAAGAGTTTAGCTCAGCTAAGCATTTCAGTGATGTTACTTATTAATTATTGAGAGCAGCAGCGTGCTTCAAATGGTGCAAGGCACAGAAGGAAGCGTGAACCAGAGATAACACAACATAACTGAACCACTTGATTTTTCTTCTTCTAAGTATAGTTTCCTGGGGAAGGGGAAAACGTTTTAGAGTCATTCTACCTGTGGGTCAATCATACCTAGATATGGGGACTTTCAGGAGTGTCCAGAGCACACATTTAGGATCAGTCCTTAGATCAAATGACCATTTACCTAGGTTTTCCTACCCTGGGTAACACATGGCTGTCAACTGCTGTGGAGAACTACATGTTCATCCTGGCTCCTCCTCTGCCCACTCCACCTGGTGTTGGTAATACTCTTGATAACTTGCTGAAGGAAAATTTGTTCTAAATTATATTGTTTTCCAATGCATTCTAGCACAAAACCCAGAGTGTTAGAAGTAAGTATTTAGGACTGGGCCATGCCATCCTTTCTCATACGGGCAGTTGAGATCTATTAGGTAGGAAGAGGCAGTTGCTAAGCTGAGTAGGTTTCCAAATGATGACTTAAAAGGGAAAAGCATATAGGTCATAGGCAATCTCAAGTGGCAACAAGCACTTTAAGTATCTGTCGGAATGAATTTTTGAAGGATTTTTTGTTGGGAAAGCAGTACATTAAATCAAGGTTTCTTTCTTAGGTGAGGCAAAAATATTATTGCAAACTGTCTCATCTGTACTAAAATTTGCCTTAGGACAAAATCAAGCAGAGGATGCAAAATTACATATCTAGCAGCATGCAGATGTTCTCTAATAAACTGCATTTGAAAAGAGATTTAAAGTAAGGAAACTTGTGCCCAGTTCCCAAAGATGTCATTGCCATTTTAGATGCCTTCTATCTTCTGGACCGAGCTGCTACTGCAGCAGAATGTGGCTGTATCTGCCAGTTCCACATGTCTTACATTTGTTATGGCATCTAAACTGGCATTTGATACCTATATTCAGAACCCGTACCCCTTTGAATGACTTTTCCAGAAAGTGATTGGGTGGATTTGTGGAGCCTGATCCTATTTTTTGCTCTGTAACTATTGAAATTTTTTTTTTTTTGTCAGTGTTAAGAATTAAAATGAAATGAGAGCATCATGGGGTACTGTGTATATACTCTTTTCTGCCCTACTGTAGGGCATAGGTAGAAGCAGTAAACTCTCCTAGCTTGTTTTTGAAATGTGAGTGATGTTATGACTAAACTAAAAGTAGATGTTTGTACTCTCTGATTAAACCACTGATTAGAACTTTCGTCTGAGTAAAGGTCATTTATTTTGCTCTACTAGGATCAGAAAGATCCAAAAGTGAATGATCAACATGGAAAGCTGAACATAGTATTTTCAACGATTAAAATATCCAGACAGTCCAGACAGTAAAATAAATAAATAAATAAATAAATAAACTGTATTAACTTGCTGTGTACACATTATTAGCTACCTAAAACACAGAGCACTGATGTTCTCATAAGCCCTTGATATTTCTTCAACTTTAATCTGTACAGAAGCATGCACATGTTGTATTTATATGGTCCCATTCTCTGTCTTCTTTTCATCACAAGACAATAAATTCACGTTCTTGAGAACTATCCTGCAGCTTTTTCTCTCCGTGTTCCTGCCTGGAAATAACAAATGCTTTTTAAAGCAGTACAGTGTATACAATACTTTGTGTTTGGAGAATCCAAGGCTTTCAGATAATTATTTGAAACCTAGTTGAACGTAATTAGATTGAGAGAGGGATATTGTTTTTTTCCCCTTCTGTCCCTATGCTGTCTGTAGAGCATCCAGCATAAAACTATTCTATTCTATACAGGGTCTCGTGTCATTTTGGCATTTGAGTGGCGGATGATACTCTGTTAAGCCGTGTGATTAGTATTTTGTGGTCTCTAAATTCCTCTAGACCAAAAGCAGAACCAGAGATTGCATTTCTTTTGTTTTTCCCAGTTACACTAGGGAGCAGTGAGCTCACTTTGTATTTCAGTCTAGTGCGTGGCCTTGGAAACACCAGTTATAAAACCTTCTTTACATTGGCTTTACAGTATTGTGTGCTTCCTTGGAGCCCAAACAATTGCAATTTTGCAAATGACTTGGACACACTTTGAGGTTTTAATGTAATTTAGCTTTCCCTCTAACAAAGTAATGACATCTTTGGGGTGTTTTAAGGACTCATTCTTCCAGTTAGATGAGTTAATTTAATAACGTCTGTGTGACTAGTGTTTGTGATAAACCAAAATTTGTAGGTTTACACACAGAACTATCTGTTTGCTGAGG